GAAATACAAGCAGTAAGAAGTTCAGAGAATAACTACAAAAGAGGAAGCATTGTGACAGCATTCCACGCCGTTGCGCTCGGGCAGTTATAAAAGCAGAGAAGGCTGGGCCTGCAAGTTGACACTTACAGAATGAGGAGCCTGGCCTCTCCTCTTCCAGGTCCCGGAGCAGAGAGAGGGGCTCGCCTTTCACTGCTGTGTCTGCCCCGTCTCCGCCTGGCCCTCACCATCCAGACGAGGAACAAAGGAAAGCAGGGGCGTAGGGGTGGGATTAGAGCACTGCAGGGATGTGGACGGGAGAGATGGGTGCTTCTGGCAGAGCCGCAGGAGGCAGGTCGCGGGCAAGGGAGGGTCCAGTTTCCTGCTAAGGGCAGGGACGTGTGCGAGGGGCTGAGAACAGCTACGGGGGAAGAAGGGACCGTTTCAAGACCCCCAGTGTCCAGGGATGGCGCTGGGCGAAGCTCTAACTGGTATTTATACAAGTCCTCTGCTGACAGATCAGATTCCTGAGGTCTGGAAAGTGTTACCCAGCATTATTCTAAACAGGGCTATGAGATAGAACAAGCAATTACGGGCCATTTAACTTAACATCATTTACAGAAAAATATTAGGAAAAGTTTGCAGAGGGGACAACTCAATGAGCATATGGTAATTTGATTAGAAACAGGCCACATGTTTTTACTGAAGGAAGGTGTTGCTTTAACTAGCTTGTTGGCCTTCTTTGAAGTTACTGCTTTCCCAGCTCTAGATTTTAACTCAGGAATTTTTTCTAGTATCTATAAAGAATGCGAATAAACATTAAGTATCTAGGCAAAGAGAGCAAAAACCAATCACAGCTGAGGACATTAGAAATACAATGGCAAGAAAAGCGAATGTTAAAGACAAATAATACAGCAAGGAAAAACTCAGCTCCATCACCCAGTAGAGTTTAAATCAAGACATTTTTCGTGGAAAATAGGTGATTTCAACTTCGGTCTGTTAATGTGTTTCCCATGCCATTTCCTAAAATGCTCTGCAGAAAAAAGGCAACTTTTTTGTTTGTTTCACTGAAAAGAAAAAAACCTTAGCTTTTTTTTTTTTTTTAAGTGAACTGAACATTTGGTGTCATTAACATTTGGCACATGAGGACGAACACTTCCTAATACAACCTTTGTGAATTTTCCAAGTTAAAAATTCTCAAACAAAAAGACGACATCTTCGTTATTATTTTAAATTAAGTAATAGGTCAATGTTAATTTTCTCCTATTTACATGACAATTCCATACCACTGAATAGCTACTGAATCTTCAGAAAGAGGGTCAGAAAGGATAAAAATCAAGATAAAACAAGAATTTAAAAAATCAGAGTACCTATTAGCGTTTGCTAGAAGCCCTGATTATACCATGTTATTGACTTTTTAGCGGTTAATACGTACACTTCACCAGTGACGTCCTTCTCCTTTTCAAAAGGCACTCGACTCGAGTAACTGACCTATTCCTCTCTACACTCTCCACGAGGGCCGGATGGGTCTGTCTCGTCCATGCTGAATTCTTAGGGCCTAACACAGGGTTTGGTAAACATTTGTTGAACGAGTGAATAACTAACAATAACAGCATTAATACTGGTATTTTACCATGTGCCAGACACTGCTCTAATGGGCACTTTGTGTAAGTGACTCTCTTAATTCTCCAGCAATTCTTTGAAAGAAGTTTGACTATGAATCCCGTCTTTAAAGACAGCCAAACAGAGGCACTGAGAAGTAACACGCCTGAGTTCACACATCTGGTAACTCAGGCCGTCTGGCCTTAAGCCCAACCCCGCTTCATCCCCGCACACAAATGCACGATGCCACAGCTCTGCGTACATGTACAGGCAGAGGAAACACCAGAGTGGACAGAGGTACAGGACCCAAGTATTCGTGTTGCCATCACCAATGCTGGGATTCAGGGGCAATGGGAAATGTGAAGTCCAATTTCCAGGATGAAGCTTCCCACAGCAGTAAAACTCCTCAACACGCAAGGGAAGCCCAGAGGTGTCCAGAGCGGGAACCAGAAAACAGGACTCCGCTCAGCTCAACTGGACACCAGAGTCCTAAGCTAAGAACAAAACCTTTCAGGACTTTCCACTCTGGAGCAGAAGCAGGACCAAAGATTTTGTGGTGACAAAATCAACGAGGGAGAGGTTTTCAGCTGGGAGGTCTGCTCTGTACAGAATCCCTGGCGGCCTCTTTGGGGTCAGTGCTGGCCTGTACTGCGTAAACAGGCTGCCTTGCTTGGTCTGAGTCTCACTCAGAAAACAATGTAAATCTTTATCTCCCTGTAGTCTGGCTTTAGGGTACCGGTGTTCTATGGCCTGCTTCTTCCCCCCAATTTTCTTTACGGCATTTTTTTTCTTTCGATCATTCTGGCCCCACTGGACTCTAAGAAGATCTAGTTTATGCGTTCGTCTCCGGGGTGTCCTAGGTGCTGAAGACACAGGATGAAAGCCGATCAGGAGAACAAGCTTTTCTAGAAAGCGAGGAAGGATGAGAGGGAGGCTGTGGTACCTGGAAGGTGGACTTGACCTCAGAAAAGGGAAGGACACAGCGGGACACGGAGAATTACACGTCTCCCCACATCGAGTGCCTCTCAGGCCTCACGCCAGCGACGCCCTGGGTGTGTTGTTTACGGCACAGACCCAAGTGCAAGCTCACAGGCGGGCTCCAGTTCTCACCCCCTTTCACCTGGAGGAACACTGTCACCCCCGAGGCAACTCCATGTACGGCTATCAAGCCGATCCAAGTTCTGGGAAAACTGCTGTTCTGAAGAATGAGGTGAAAAGTTTAGCCTCACCACACAAGAAGGCTTGCCCGACAGAGCCCTGTGCTGAGTGGAGTGGACAAAATTAGCGCAGCCTTCAAAATCCAAGACCAGAGGCAGTAAAGGGGATCCGGGTGGTGGGGAGAGCTAGATGGGTGAGAGGAGAGCCTAGGAAATAGGAGGGCACCTCACGTTCAAACGCCTTTTGTGCAAACAGAGTTGCAGAACAGGTACGACAGGGACACTGGCCAGAACAAAAGGACGGACGTGGAGCCTCGGCAGGAAAGAGGGTCCACAGGGACTTCTTGTGAGCCCAAGGGTCCTTATCAACCCCACACGGTGCCCAAGTAAGGCTGACAGACAAGCTGTTCTTAACGACATCCTAGCTTTGGAAATGAGAAGGGCCACGGTGAAGTTGTTACAGGGGTTGAGGGTTGGCTCCGTCCGTTTTCCACTCTGAGATGACAGTTTTCATTCGCGAGCACGGAAAGAAAGCTGCCTGTTTATGTCCCAGAAAAACGAGAGCCCGTGGCCCATCTCTGGGCCCGGTGGGAGGCTCCACAGCCGGGTCTCCTTGCTGTGTCAGCAGGAGCGCGCTGGTGTCCCCTCCCTGGGACCAGCACATCCTCTGCTGGCCACACCCACCCCCATCAGCACCGGGCACCATTGTTCACTGTGTGTCAAAGACCGGCCCCGCCCGGGCCAGGACAATGCGACTCCACAGCCCCAGTCGCCAAGCACTGCTGATTTCCTTTCCTTTTTATTCACTCCTGTGTGTAAGAGTGCATGAAATGAAGTGTTTTCTTTTGTTTGAAACAAGACAGTTTGAAGGGTGATTACCGGTGACAGGTTCACTTTCGATCTTTCTTCACCGTGGCTTTCCTGATCTCGGAAGGTTGTACAACAGATAGGAATTTGGTTCAAACACAGGTAAAACAGGTTCCAGGATTCTACTTTCACGGTTAATATACATTTCGTTCGGGAACCACCAGGTTTGAACATTTCTCTCTGAAGCTGCTGCTTTCTATCACCTTTAGGTACCTTTAAAACATTGAGTTTTGTAACCACAGTGAACGTGGCCCACATTTAAGGGACAACACCAAGCTAGAAGTTCTTATAAATCTAGGAAAGGAGCATGTTATGCTCAAACAACCTGTAGGTCATTTCTTAATACAGAAACTTCTTTTTATTTTTTTGTATTTTAAAATTTAGTATTTGATAAAGTATTATTACAGATTGGGAGGGTATGAAACATTAGTAATTAGTGGCTAGTCATGTTTTTAAAAATACTAAAGTAAACGTCAGGTGGAGAAAGAACCATCGATAAAATTGAAAGACAAATGGCAAATTACGGGGTGAGGGTTAGAGAAATGCTTATGTAAACAAGGGGGATTCTTTCACCCATAAAATTAATAGATAATGTGTGTTCAGTCATTCAATAAAAGTTTGAATATATTCAGGAACTTCTGTATTCAGAAATTTATGCGTTTATCCACCCATCCACCAATAATCATTAAGCACTGAGTTTTTCATCTAAGATAGTAAAAAAAAGTCCTTCTCCTCAAAGACTTTGGAGAAACTCTTTGGAGAAAAACACGTAAACAAATTAGTATAGTAAATTATAATAGGTGTTATAATATAGTTATGTATAGCATATAATGTATCAACAGATACAAAGGAAAAAGTAATAAGTTCAGTGGTGGTAGTATATCGGCCAGAAAAGGATTCACAACCAGGACAGTACTTGAGCTGAGGCTTAAAAAGTGTGCAGGGCTTAACGCCACTCAGGTTTGTGCGTGTGTAGGTGAGTGCACGTGTGTGCATGTGTGAGTGCGTGCGAGTGTGTGTGTACATGAGCGTGTGCACCGGGATCTCCAGACCCTGAGGGCCATGGGGGGCCTTGGAAGGCAGACGTCCTGCAGGTACCGGGGCTCAGCCATCCATCAGGCCACTACCTTGATGGGATCCACCTTTGATCTGAGCCTCCATTTCTGAAACCAGCTCTTTCCCTGGGTGTGTGTTACCCTGTTTTCCTTTACACGGCAGTGCATTTTGTGGCGAGAATAACACCCCAAATGCGATTCCCCGGGCTCTGGTTTGGGGAACGCGCACTGAGGGACGACAGGGAGCCCAGGGCAGAGCTGGGAAGCCTGGCTGCAGCCACCAGTTAATATTTTCCCAGCCGGTGGCCGGGTGTGGCCCTGCCGCCAGGGCCGAGACACTTACCACTTCAGTTGGTCGGTAGTACTTGAGATCCACGGTCACGTGAACTTTGCCGGTCTCTTTGCACCTGCCCACTTCATTTTCATTCTCTCCTTCCCACCTGGAAAGGAGAAAAAGAGTTGGTCAGCCCCAACCTGCTTGGGAGCATCAGGCCAGGCTGCCGGGCAGCGTGGCTTCTCCCTATAGGAGCCAGAAGCCCATTAACTCAGGAAACACACGCAGGTGCTTAACCGTGTTATGAGGGCAACAGCGGTTCTAAAGCCTTTCCAGATCTATGTCAAAAGGGCAGGCCTTTTCCTTCCTCTTTAAGGAAGATCATGGTATGTTCAGAAGTGAGACCCCAGAAATGAACAGATTAGCCACAACAAGGAACTGGGCAACTTTCAGGATTTCCAAGATTCTGTACCTCTTTAGACTATTCTTGATAAAGTCAATTATTATGAATTAATCTCTCCTGTCTCTCCCTTCCTTATTTTTTTTTATTTCTGTAATTTTAGGAGTATTTATTGTAAATTGAATGCATTCCACTTTAGAAAAAGTTTCATACCCTAATTAACCACTCATTGCATCCCCGTATTCCATACAAGTGCCCTTGCTGTACCCAGGCAGCAGCTGGCCCCACTGATAAAGCCCAGATGATGAAACCTCCAAAAAGTGCATAATGAATCGGTTGATTTCCTGCTAAGCGACGGTCTTTCAGCATCTCTTCTTCCTCTGATTCAGCTACGATGCTATTTGGACAAGTGTTCTTCCTTAAGCATCCACAGTCGACAACAGTTCAGAGTCTCGATAGCAGCCCCCTCTTCTCATAAGCTGAGGGGCAAGTTCACAAGTTTCAAGGCCAGCTTCTGGCCGGAGTTCCATTTTATGTTCTCACTTTTACAGAAATGAAGCCACTGGCTAAAGCTGACCTCTGGATTTCTACAAACTAATATCCAAAGAACAAAAAATACTATATTATTTGACTTGTTTCTACAAATGGAACTTTTCGGCAAAGAAAGGAAAGAAGTTACCAAGTAATGTCTGACTTCAGTGCTTATCCTCAGACCTAGTTTGCTTTATCAACTGGTGATGAATCCTGTGACAGGACAATTCTGTCACAGTGGAGATCAAAGGGCATTAAGTTGGTTACTTGACTGTGTGAATTACAGGTGCCATTGAAGATGGACATTAAATGTTGATTGTGGCTGTATTTTCGACATAGATTGGGTATCAGAGACTTAAACTGGCCTCACAAGCTTTCTCTCTGATCAACCCCTCAAATGTTCTATCCTCAATTTACTTTTTGATAGCATAAGGATAATGTTTCATCGTGGGAGGAAGAATCAGTTCATGAGTATGCTGGATTTGCCAATGTACTAAAGGCAAATATGAAAAACATTCCACGACACAGAGAGAATTATAGCTTAATATGTTGAACAATAAAAAAAAATGCACAACTGGCATTTTCCATGACTTTTATATTAATGACTCAAAAAAGGGTGTTTGGTAATTTACTTATTTGGTTTAATTTCTTTCCCTTGCCTAGACTTATTTGGCAGGATCAGAGCTAAGTTTCTGGAACATTCACCTGGATATGGTAGGTGGATGCTTTAGAGTATGCCGACTAAAACTGCTGTAAAATGGGAAAAGCTGAGGGGCTGGTGAGCCCTGTCATCTCTGATGGATGGTGATCAAACCTTGGCCAATAACCACAGTAAGGGAGAATATTTGGTAAAGTCATGATTTAAAAAAATTACCTAATTCTAAAGTTGTTTGTTTTAGTGGAACCTCTCTCGGGTGACGCTTTCATCAACAGTAAATGAAAGGATATTTGTTTCTCAGGAGTGCGTTTTAGTTTTATTTCTGTTCACATTTCACACTCACGAAGAGAAACAAGCTCCGCACACGCCTTCCTGACGGCATCTGCACGGAGCCAGAGGGTCCAGGAGCACGTTTTGCTGTTTCTTCCAGCTGCGGCTCGGCACGTAATCTGCGATGGTCAGGCTGACGTCGGGACACAGACACGCGTGACACCGCCCATCGTGGTGGTGAATCCGAACAGAGGCCACAAGCTGCAGGAATGGTGATTCAGACCCATGTATTTACAATGAATCCTTCTGAAACCACACACGTAGCCACATACATATTTAAGTCGACGAGGCCTCGGGAAAGGCGTCCCCTGACCGTGGTCACGTGTGGCCCAGGGAACTTGGCAAAGCTGGCCACGTCTCCAGACCAGGGGCTGTGAACTGTTTCTGCGAAGAGCATCACATAAGAGGCTCGGCTCTGTCACGTGTTCTTCCTCATTCCCTTCCTCCTTCTTCTCTTCCTCATTATCTTCTTTCTTTAAAATTTTTAACTACCCTTTAAAACAGTAAAAACATCCTTAGAGGACAGTAAAAAACGAGCCTTGGCTGGGGTCTGGCCTGCAGACCGTAGTTGCCCCCCTGCGTCAGGGGATGAGTTACTGACACATCCTCACCCTTGACCCCAGGAAAGCATCCGGTTCCGGTCCACACCAGCAGGCTGATGGCCGGCTCAGCGGGACCTTCCCCAACTGCTATGGACTCTCCTGGGCTGCCCTGCAGCCTTGGGCCAACACTGGCATTTGTAACAGCAGCTGAAGTGGGAAAAGACGGGGAAGAACCTGCACATTAGAAGTGAGTTGACACCATGCAGGCACCTGCAGGGCGGCTGCCCACATGCAGGCCTCTCTGCCTCTGCCTGGTGCTGCTAGGCAGCCTGCACGTGTGTCCACGGGTCACGGCCGTCTCTCAGGGCATGGCGTTGCCCTACGATGAATATGGCTGTGCTGAACAGCCAACTGTCACCAAGGGAAGGACGCAGAGCAGAAGAGAGGTGGCAGAAACCACTTTCTAACTTGCACTAGGTCTGCAAGAGGGCAATAAGCAAAAGTTTCGGCCAAGGACCAGAAAGCATTGTTACAACAACACACAGAACACTTGTGTTAACCAGTAAACGCTAAGAGCTAACTTGTCCTAACAGGTAATGTTATGACTCAAAGCAGAGCTGCAATATTCATGAAATGACAGTGGCCTGACAGGGGGTAGGGGATTCAGCTAATTAGCAGGAGTTGCTAGCCACTAATTTAGATCAACAGCTCACTGAGCAGGGATACTGTATAATACAAATTTGAAAATAAAACTGTTGGCTCTTAATAAGCATTAAATAGCAATAGAAAGCACTGAAGAATCTAGCACAGTAAGTCAAGATGAGGTGCTATTAAACTCTCCCCAACAAGGAATCCCTCTAGGGAGCAAAGCAAAGCCAAGCGGGCAGCCGAAGTCAAGTCGGGGACATCACAGAAGCGCGCAGGGATTATTTTAAGGACCAAGACTTGACTAGGGTGCACACGTGGAGATGGGAGGTCACCAGCAGCCACGATTTACTGGTGAAGGGCATGGGGCGCCCTGGGAGTGTCAGCAGGTCCTGGGCGAGGACGGTGTTTGCACACACTTCTGTTCCTTCCCCGGAACCCCTGCAAAAACAAACACGCTGACAAGGGGTGAACAACAGGAGAGACGAGAAGACCCAAGTTCTGGGAGCTGGAGAGGAGACGGACGAGTGTTAAAGGACTGGGCAGAGGCCCCAAAAAACAGACCTGCAAGCTGGCAGCGGGGAAGCTGAGCATGGGCCCACTTGGCCCCGGGAAAGCCCAGATACTCCAGACAGGGGGTTGATTAAACTCCCCCAGAAGCAGCCCGATGTCCAATCCCCTCCCAGGGTTGGCATCACTGGGCAATGGCCTCACCCTCCGTCCTGAAGAAGGTGGCAGGATTGAAGGCCATTGGGCCCTGTGAGCGTGCGGCCACCACACGGAGAAGAGGAAAGGTAAGTGGATTGTACGCAGAACGCCCAGCATCCTTTGCCCTGAGGGGGTGCTGGGGTCAGGCTGGTCCCCTTCCAGGGAGGGGGCTGGGAACTCTCCTCTGGGCTCAGATTCTCCAACTAAACGGCCTCCAGAGCCCCCAGAGCCCCCAGGCTCTATGTCCTCAAAAACCCCAATCAGCTTTTTAGGCCCCCACTTGTAAACATGAGCAGAAAACCGAGGATTACCAGACACACGTGAGGAAAACCACACATACGAAGACAGAAATCACAGAAGACAAACTGAAAACCAGCAACTTGGAGGAAACAGAAGAAACAGGGAAGATCATTAAAAACAGAACACAACAACAAAAAACTCACACACATCACTGCTAATATCTTCAGAGAGACAAGGAAAGATATCAAAGAAACAAAAATAAGATACTACATAAAAAAGGACAATTTGAAAAAAAAGATTTAGAAATTGAAAAAATTCAGAAATTAAGAATTCAAGAGAAGATTTTGAAGACAGAAATGAGGAAACCTCCCAAAAAGTAGGGCAAAAAGATGTAGATATGAAAAAGGAAGATAAGAAAATCAGAAGATGGCCTCAAGAGGTCAGTATAATAGGATTTCCAGAAAGAGAGTAAAGAAAATAATTATCTTAACATATATAAAGAAAATTGATCAGAGCAGATGAACACGCATTTCCAGACTGAAAGCGTCCCACAGAGCACGCAGATACCACCTCACAGAGTTTCAGAACACGGGGACGAGGAGGAGGCCCCCGGGAGCTCAAGGGGATGGGAGCGGCCCAGAGTGGCCCCTGGGCTGCCGCGGCAACACTCAAAGTAAAGGCAATGGAGCAACGCCTTCAAGGTTCTGAAGGAAAGTTATTTCCAACCAAGAAATGTACATTGGCCACCTTGTTAATTGAGGGCAGGATAGAGATGTTTTCAGATAAGCTTGGTCAAAAACTATTTGCTTCCCATGCACCATTCTCAGGAAACTAATTAAGGTTTGGCTTCACCAAACCACAGAATTTTAAAAAGATGTCAGAAAATAGGGGATGACTCTACCATCCAGCGGTCCAGGTGGGATCAGGTCGGAAGGATCTAGAGGGGGGCCGCAGGGGACGTGCCCGAGGGTAAGCCTCCGGCCTGAGCACCTTCAGGGCAGACTGAGGGGAAGTGAGTGACAAACACATGGAGAATGAAGCAAACGGAGAAAGACAATTGTTAGGTCTATGGTAAGCAAGGGACATCTGCTCAGAAAGGAAGAAGGAAGTGT